TATATATATATATATATTGCATGAAAGGCTGCGTGTTATGAGCCTTAATGTCCTAGTCGCCTTCCTTTCTGCGGCCATCATGAACAGTATTCTCATTTTAAAAAGTTTCATGAAGTGCCTCAGCAAGAGAACGGGGGACTTCGGCCATCTCAGAGAGCTCCTGAAAAACTCGGCACGCAGGTTCACGGCTGCCCCTTCAAGCAGATGGATCCAAAAGCCCTGCAGCAGCAGCTGCAGAGGCTTCCCAAAGTGAGGATCAGGCAGTGAAGTGAAGATGTAGGATATTAATGTAGTATGATAAATGGGATGTCTATCTCTATCTCTCTATTCCTGTCTATTTATCTATCCATCCATCCATCCATCCATCCATCCATCCATCCATCCATACATCCACCCATCCATCTATCTGTCTATCCATACATCTGTTGATCTGTCATCTGTGTGTACATACAGACAGATGTATGTCTTTTTATGTATGACAAGATGCTTGTCTGTTTGTATGCACATTCATGTACCTGGATAGATCTAGCACATGAAGAAACTTCAATAATGTGGCAACCCTAAACCCTAAGCCTTAAACCCAAAGCCCTAAGCCTCAAACCCTTGGCCTAAACCGTAAACCCTAAATCCTAAGCCCTTAGCCCCTAAACCCTAAACCCTAAACCCTAAACCCTAAACCCAAATGTTGGCTACGGCTCAAGTGTTTGGCCCAAAATCTTTCCTTTGACCTTTGCCCGTTTCCCTGCCTCTGGTCGGTCATTTGCGTGGGGGTGAGCTGATCGCGGACGCTGGCGGCCAGTGCATCCTCGTCCTTTACTAGTTTGTGTGCACGGGCATTGTGGTGGACCTGGTGTTCTGGCGGCCACTTTGACGGCGCAGCGGGTGGCATTGCTGGTGGGTGTTCTTAGTCTCTGGTGTTCGTGGGTGTCTCCTTCTTCCTCCTCTTCTTCCTCTTCTACCTCTTGACTGGGTGACTCGAGGAGGACTTCTTGTTGTCTCTTGACTCTCGAGGACTACATGGTCTCACGCTTGGGGCCTGACGAACTGCCCACGCAGATGATCACGGTCGAGGAAGAGGGTGTCATTGGGTCACCCACAGAGCTGGCCGAGGGTGACTCTGAAATGGAGGTTGAGAAGACTGAGATTAAGCAAGAAGTCGTGGATCCCCCGCCCAACCTGAAGCTGGAGAAAAGGAAAAGGGCCTCCACAATTGGGACGAGAACTGAAGAAGGCAATGACGATGAGGAGAGCCCGTCCAAAAGACCACCACCTCCGGGGGAAGTGCGACCTGATGATCGTCCAGTTTCCGGGGATGAACTTCGCCAGCTACTTCAACTTCATGCCCAAGAACTTAAAGATGCCTGGCGGAGCCTTGAGGGAAGATTGGACAAAGTCGAGACGACCCAACAAAAACAAGTGGGTGATATCGCATCCCTCTCCGGACGAGTCAAAATCAATGAGAAGGACCTACAAGGGGTGAAGAAGACTTGCGCCAACCTTCAGCCCAAGATTGACGTGCTCACCGAGGACGTCAAGAACCTGAAGGTGCAACTGGAAGAGAGCAAGAAGGAAAACAAGCTGAGAGTCCATGCCGAGCTGGGCCCACAGGAAGGTGCTCCAAATGACCCATGGGGTGACTACTTGAAGAAACGAGCCGCCAAACAAGCTCAGGATGCCATTCCAGCTGATCCTTCCGGGGGACCTTCAAAAAATGTGGGTGAAGTGCTTTCTGAAGATGACCTTCGTACTTTGATCGTGGGTGGGTGGGCACAAGACACTCGGAAAGCAGTCATTGAGAGTGAGGCTGAGGCTGTGCTCAAGCTCCCGGAGGTGGCCCCGCTGCTCGATGTCGACAAGGTCACGGTCTTCGGGCCCAGGCGAAGTGTGGGGATGATAAAGTTCGTTGACCGCCCGGGAGAAACTTTTGCCCAGACGAAGGACCGGATGTGGGGAGTTGTTCGCGCCGTTGCACAGGCGAAAGTGGTCTTCCAAAGCACGTGCAACCTAGGAGAAGATCGCAAAGCTTGGATGGCATTTGTTAAGACCCGTACAGCGAGGGCGCGCACTGCCCACATCAGCATGGTCAGACGGGTGACCATTGCTCTGGCCTCAGATGTGAAGGATGACGGTGGTGGTGTGCTGAACCTAGACCACACGTTACCTGCTTCCTACGATATGGATTGGGGAGCAGGGACCATTTGGTGTGGCCCACAGAAGTTGGCTTCGGCTACCCACCGAGCACCCAAAGAGGCCGAAGTTATTCTCATGAGTGGTGGGTGGGTCAACTTAGATGCTGTTGGATTGGTTGCTGGCTGTACGGTCGGGGTCGCCAAGTCGGCCTTCGAGCACGAGCTGTGATGCCAGAAGGAAGGGCCGAGTCTCACGCCTTCTTCGCCGCCTTTTCAGCCCGAGGCTTTGGGTGACGTTAAGAAGGTCATGGCTTCTGACCAGTGTGGAAGACATCGGTGGGGCCGTGTTATGCAATGGAATTTAGGGGGACAAGAGCTAAATTTGCTTGACGTCGCCGCCCTTGATGCAGAGATTGTCTTTGTTCAAGAAGTTTCACGCGGAGAACCTGGGTGGACGTGTGCTGATAGCGAACACTTTCACTGGGTGACTTTTCGAGATACGGCTATGTGGAGAGGAGTGGGAATTGGCGTCGCCATCGACAAGATCGACTGCATCATCTCCAAGATTGCCACGACTAGGGGGATTTGGGTGCTAGCCAGAGTGGTGGGCATTGGCAGAGTTGTGCTTGGGTCGCTTCATGGTCTCACCGGGGTCACCAATGCCAAATACCAAGCAGCCACCCTCGAATTTGCCAAAGCGTGTCCCTCATCCTGGCGCCACTACCCTGTCCTTTGTGGAGTTGACGTCAACGAGACCCCGACATGGCTTCTGGGAGGAGATCAATTGGCGCCGGCTGGGGTGGAGACTTTGTCCGCAGGCTCTGCCAACTTCAACCTCCTGACCGAACAATTTGCCTCCCTGGGGCTTCGTCCTGTCCCTCCTCGACATGATCAAGTGTGGACACCGACTCACTTTCCTCGGGACGAAACGCGTGCCGGCAGACAGATCGACATGCTTTGGTGCCGACAGCTGCTAGTGGGACCATTACAGATTGAACCTGATCGTCGGCACCTTATTGGTACAGACCACGCGGTGATTTGGGCCGACTTGTATGTCAACCACAAGAGCAAACTTCAGTGGGGGAATGACTCCCGACCGCGGTGGGTTCACGCTGAGCTCCCCAATGTCAAGTTGGACCAGGCAGCAGACCTCACCAAGCTAGCCAAGGAATGCTCTGCGCCGAAGAGAACTACTGGGTACAAGGATGACAACGATGTGAAAACCGCCTTCGCTGCTGCCAGACAAGTTGGGAACGACAAGAAGCTCTGGAAGCAGGCGCACAAACTCCGGAAGACAAAGAGGGCCGAATGGAGAGCAAAGCGCCTCAGCGACATCCTCAACGGTGACTGGTCTCAGTACAGGGCACTCCAACGTGAATCTAACAGGAGACGAGGCTGGTGGGGTGGCATGCTACAAGACAAGACTTCGGCCACACTCACGTCCGATGTCAAAGAACACCTTGAGACGAAGCTGGTCAACCAGGATCTACCTGATTGGGATGACATCCTCAACGAGCACATTGCGAACGTGCACTTG